AGACTGATGGTGATGGTGGTGGTGGTGGTAGAGGGGGACGGTTCAGTGAAAGAGGAGGATTCCGCGGTGGTCGAGGTGGTGACTTTGGGGGCCGCGGCAGAGGCAGAGGACGTGGAGGGTTTGGTCGAGGTACGCCACGAGGTAGAGGTGGCCGTGGAGGAGGAGGAGGAATGAGAGGTGGGAGGAAGGTAATGATAGAGCCCCACAGACACGAGGGTATTTTCGTTGCAAAAGGCAAAGAAGATTGTCTTGTGACAAGAAATGTGGTCGTTGGGGAATCAGTTTACGGTGAAAAGCGTATCAGTGTTGAAGATGATGCTGGAGGAAAGATTGAATACAGAGTTTGGAATCCGTTCAGATCTAAGCTGGCTGCCGGCATAGTCAATGGGCTGGATCAGATTCACATCAAACCAGGCTCTCGTGTGTTGTACTTGGGCGCCGCCAGTGGGACCACTGTTTCTCATGTTTCCGACGTAGTTGGCGAAGAAGGAGTCGTGTATGCAGTCGAGTTTTCACATCGTTCAGGGCGTGACCTTTTAAACGTTGCAAAGCATCGTACTAATGTAGTTCCCATCATTGAAGATGCCAGACACCCGCACAAATATCGAATGTTGGTTGGTAAGTTGAGTTAAGAAGTTAATATTCTCAAGGTATGGTGGATTGTATATTTGCCGATGTTGCTCAGCCTGACCAATCGAGGATAGTTGGTGTTAACGCAGAGTATTATTTGAAGAATGGTGGTCATGCCGTTATATCTATTAAGGCATCATGCATTGATTCGGTTGCTGCCCCTGAAGTCGTGTTCGCGAAAGAGGTAGATACACTCAGAAAGCTACAGTTCACACCTCGAGAACAAGTTACTCTGGAACCGTTTGAGCGCGGTCATGCAATGGTGACAGCTCAGTATAGGTAAGTTGTCATGTATGTTAAGATTTTCTTCTTTCCATAGAGCGCCAAAGAAAGTGAAAACCGAACAATCATAAATGTATTTGCATCATGTGTACATAAATATAAGTTTTCATTTGTATGACCGTGTATTTTAGTATTTAGCTTTGACTTTGATCTCTTAAAGATCAGCTTCTATTGCAAAATGTTTGTCGTAGCTTTTAAGAATGTCTACCAGCAGTGGACCACTACTACATATATAAATTCGTTTTCTTTGATATGCGGACCTTATCCGATTTGACGATTCAATGCCATTGTATTTTCTAGAACTGTATAAGGATTGCGGTTCACTTGTTGGAGTGCTTTGTGTTTTACCAACTTAGATCACAATGTATAACTCAGTCATCATTTACACTAAATGATGCTATTTTTAATCACGATACTTGGTAAACAAGTTCGACCAAACCCCAAGTACGAAGAGCACTCGGAGAGAGCCGTCTTTTAAGTCGCTAGTTATGAAAATTAGGTGACTATTTCACATACCATGAATTAATTCACTGACTGTGACTGCAATGTTCACGCAATGAGTGAAATAGTGGGCTTGGATTAGGAAGTCTGTAGGATAATTTGCTTTGATTTCATGACGAACTTTAGTGAGTGTATTTTTATCCTGACCAACATCTATTCACTTTCGATTGAGAGTTTTTACAAATTTCCTGCCTGTGAGTACACTGCAAGCGTATGCCTGAGACTGATTAGACTTATGTTAATTAAGGGTTTCATAAATCACAAGAGTGTGTGAGAAACTTTTTAGCTCAGTGAAACGTAGTTTGTTACTTTAGCATATCAGCACTTTTAGCGGACGCGTACAACATGAGTACGTATGCTGTACGAAAATAGCACGCTATTCTGATGTAGGACCAATGAATATTGTTGTAGTGCAATATATATTTCTTGTGTCTCGGGGTACTGCCGTGGAAATGAGTTGACATTGGTTGTCTGAAGAACTTTTGAGTTAGGGCGACGTAGTTTGCTTGAGTGAGTGTATGAATATGCCGATTCTACAGTGTCATAATAAAGTACTTAAACGTACTAATTGAATAACATTGTTCAAGAGCAGACTCCTAATGGAATACCGTTCGAAGCCTTACATGTTTTATCGTATGCATAAATGCCTCCAAAGCCTCAGGATGGTCGGGGGTGGGTGCCTTGCGCTGCGGGTTGGCCACCCCTCCGCACACCTCTTGAAATGCTCCCATATGACCGGGCGTCTTACATAGCTTCTCCTGAGGAAGTCCTACTCACTGCCTTCACGTGGCGGAGGTGTTTTTCACCAAAGTGAGAGGGTGAAAGCGGATGCCCGGCGCTCTTCACCGGGTTGACTGTCCATTGGATGACAGTCTAGGGGAGATGGCTAAACCCTGATTCCAAACCTCCAACGACTGGCGTATGAAGCTCACTGGAGCTCACCGGCAGACGTATGGACAAAGGGCTTGTTGGATGTCCTGGATGTCTGGCCCCATTCAAAGAGGCGTATGAACCGAACTCCGGTCACCGGCTGCCAATGGATAGTGGACTCCCTACTCCACTCCTACTGCCTTGTAGGTCACACTTGGTTGTGTAAAGGCTAGAGCTGCACTCTCAAACAAAAGGCCGAGCGATTCTGGGGACATCACTCGTACCAAATTCCCATGAAACTTCATGAACTCTCTTACCTTGTCGCAAAACCTTGCAACAGATCGCCGCGCCTGGGCAGCGATGATTCGAGATGTTCATGAAGCCGGCTCATCCTTCCGTAGGAGATAGCCGAAGTAAAGTAAAGTAAGTATGCATAAATATGGTACTAAATTGGACATACCCTGGTTAACTCAATCGATACAACTTCACAACCTCATCGATTGGATTTCCCTCCTTACCTAACACTCGAAGCCTAACGTCAATATTACCCTATTATTTTTCGTGAAATAGAATGCAGACACCTATGATCAAAGACAGCTCACATTTTCATGTCTTCACTTTCAGTGGCCGTGTCTCACTGCTATGTGGAAGGACGGAGGTAACTAACTGGTTTGCAGTACACACGTCCTCTAGTCTGTATCCGGATATCGCGTTTATACCAGAGATGGCGTAAGTTGTCAGATGCCACACGATACTTTTGTATCCTATGTGAGAATTCGTCACCGATCGCCCGTCGGGCATGATGTAACTTCCCGAACTAGTTACGTCATCAGCACACTACCATTTCGCTGCCTCGCTTTAAGCAAGGAGTCGATGCAGTCCAGTCCTGTAGCACCATCTTACATTTGTGACAAGCAAATCTCATGACGGCAGGTATGAAATTATATGATGCAGAATTACAACAGGAAAAGTAGCAACAAATGTTGAGATTTTTGTTCCAGTCGAATTTTATTCGATCTGATTTTCACCTTCAAATGAATAAATAGTGACAAGGAGAGAAAATGAGGATAGATTAGGAAAATGACAGGTTCTAATGTACAAGTGTAAAAATACCAAAAATAGATTAATTTTATTGAAATAAATGAATAATATATAGGAGGGTAATAACGTCTATGCATACAGGATGAAAGGTTACACGTTAAAGGAATGAAGTGATGAATTAGCTGTAAATTTGTAGAATCCACAGCAGATCAGCGTACCAGCAGTGACTAGACTTTTCCTTTAGTATACCGAGTTCCGACTATCTCGAGTGTATTGCCAAGACTTCTGTTTCTTGAAGTATTTGGGAATTTATTCGGTACACGAGTGATAGGGATTCTGTAGTATTGAATTAATGGTCTTTTTGGATTGGATGAGCTAGTATTGTAACTGTAAATGCTTGTTTATTATATCTCTATTTAGCCACATAGGTAGGTGTTCACAAGTGCGACTGTACTGACTTTTGCTAACTATGATGACTGATTAATTTATCTTTATCATGTGAGAAAACTAGCATCTTGGTTTCTTTAGGTAAAAGTTGAATACGTTCTGGTGTTAAATCGATTGGTTGGAGTAAATTTAGGATATTAATCTAATGTTCCTGACAATTAGTGCCTATATAATCAGTCTTATTAATCGATGTTCAACCGATTGCTCCTGTGAAATGTTGGTCACAGTTGCACTGTTTGCAAGCAGAAAAAGGTTAGACGGGTTGGGATATCAGCAGTCTTTGCAAACTGTAAGTAGTTTACACCATGGTAAAAATGTTTCAAAGCAACAGTGTGACTAGTCTTAGGTGTTTCGTTCTAGTAACTATTTATTTCATCTTTCAACTGTAACGAAAGGCGTTAAAGCTCTGTATGTCTCTGGGGAAAAGCTATTAAAGCTTATGGACTCAGATGCCCCGGCTTAAAACACCGTGATTGACCAGTCTTCAACCAAAACCTTATAATCACTCCAGAAAAACTTTAGGGGAACATGGATTCCGAAGTCTCTAGCCCAAGTAGCACCGATCACTTAAAGACTCCGTACCAGAGTATCCGGCTAGTCATCATTATCAGGTTTTCATACTTGCAACCTTTACTTAACAACGTATATTGAAGCTTTTTGTTAATAACTGGTTTCTCTGCAGTGCATTTATTGATTAGCGAAGCAGTATCATCTTTGTGTATGTATGGAAAAGCGGAATAAATTATTAACCTCACTTTTACCATAATTATAACCCTTTCATCTTCTCCATTTTTTTTTATTGAGACCAATACTAATACACCTCACTAGCTGAAACTTTGGTATCTCAACCTATAGATGTGATATCGCAAAGGTCATATTGATTGATGCCTAATGTTTAACGAATATTTTAGTCTATATGATTCCAGCCGACAGACTTTTTAAGGTTTTAAAGAAACTTGAAATCGTGAACTCTATAGGACTCGTCCCGCTGAAACAATGAAGATGACGGAGTGTGATTAAGTGTTTACAAATTAGGGTTTTTCAACATGATTCGATCTATTGAATAAAAGTAGAAGCGTCTTGAATAGTGTCAGTTTTGCTCCCTTGGTGAGCTGTAGGTTTATGAATAGCTTGGTGGTAACATCTGTCGCAGTAATTTAGTAAACGGAGATTTGGAAGGGGAGTTGCTAAACACGAAATATAGGTTCCAGTAAAAACAAAACAAAGATATATATATATATATTTACGTCGTATGTAATATTGTTATGTACATATAGGCAAATCCCGTAGATGTCTATGTTGGTGGAGCAAATACTCGAAAGCGATGATTCAATTGTTCCTGGACATGAAGACGACTTGCATTTGTGAATGCACCTCTTTCTTTAAGCCGTTGACAACAAAAAACACGTCGGATACGATTGTGCAACAATGCCATACCACACATTAAACAAGGTTCAAGTGATACATAGGCATCTAAACCTGTACACAAATAGATTTCAGAATATTCTTTCTCTGGTTTTTTCTTCAAATTAGCAACAGCTGATACAACAAGTAATACAGCATGATCTAAACATGAACTGTCAACTGTTGCTGTAGATGTAGTGGATTCAGCTAAAGCCTCATTGGTTTCTGGATTGACAATGATTGCTGCACATGGTGGGCCTTCAAAACCTGCACATGATTGTGGGTGGGTGTTAGATAAATTTGTTGATTTTTCTGATAACATGGTGACACGTTTAAGCCATGATGAATGTCTAAAAGTAATAAAAAAGAAAGATTAATTTCTTCATAAGCAATCGACTTTAAAAGACTCATTATTAGATGGTTGAATGTGAATACGCCTACAAAAGCAGATAGTAAACTTATTGATAAGGGAATAAAGTGTGACATTCAACTTTGTGATTCATTAGTGTTCTACTGAGCTTTGTTGTTCAATTTTTAAATTTTTTAGATAATAACCCTGACAACTAATACCTTTGAACGACATGTTATTTTCTGGATGACGTTTAGACATAACTATGAACAGCAAGTACGTCAGTGGCACAGAGGTAGAATGCTCGCCGACCACGCAGGTGGTCCGGAGTTCGATCTCCGGCCACCGACGCACTCCTTCACCTCGCTGAACCAGTAGTAAGACTGGTAAAGAGGGAAGGCTGGGGATGAAGCCAGCAACACCATCTCGTAGGAATAAACACCACTGCTACCGAAACTTCAAAGCTCTAGCTCGAAGCCGTATGTTCCACAATGGGAACGTGAAGGAATTAAAAAAAAGAACACTAAATTGTGGTGTTCGAGTAATATAGACTATCATGACTGAGAACATCCTCAGGTACCGTATTATGTTAACAGTTTCGAAATATAGAGGTAATAGATTGCTACAAGATAAGTGCCGGCCTATATCACGACCTTTGATATCAAGGTAACTTCATAAAAACCTATTGACTATGATTTTCACAAGCTTGTTATATTCGTTCGCTTAAGCATTCAAAACATACTGAGTTAAAGATAATCCTTTTGCTTATTAATATAATTAGAAAGTGACAAGTACCTCTCAAATATTACTCCCCATCATACATTTTACGTTTCAGGGGAATTGTGACGCACCAACAGATGCCAACCCAACCCAACTACACCTCTCATTCTAAGATAACTAGTTGTGAATGACCTCCCAACTTTTTGTGTTTAGTACAACCTTCTAACTTTTGAGCCTAGTAAGACAGCTGAGTTGGACGCCAATACCATAAGAAATTTCCTCTTTGAGAAATTATCTACAGGCATAAATTGGGATCTTATGTGCAAGGTGTTGAGATGCAACATACACCAATAATGAAGTTTTTCAGGGTTCTATTAAGAGTTGCCGGTCATACGCGTCGTATTACTGTGCAAAAGTTGGAAGTGACAGGGTAGAATAGCTGTATTAGATGCCGCACTAGAGGACAGCTTTCTAGAAGGAACTGTTTAGCGACTCAAAACAGCACATATGTACACATTATAATTTCAAACAATGATAGGGGCTGACGAGAATGAAGATGGTTACGAATGTAAAAATTGTACAAATAAAACAGGACAATTCATGCATGTGAATAAGAATAATGATAAAGAAATGGATCCTTTATAAAATGGTATAAATGCGACTGTTTGTAGAAGTGTGGAATTAAATCAAAACTTTTATGGAGTATTTGTTTGATGGTTTTTCTCAAAGATCCACTTCCTGAGCTGATTCAAAAAGTAGAAGACTAATGTTACCAATAAAACAAAAACACGGCAAATTCATGCACTATTTGTTCCCATCTAATCCTGAAGCACATGTGTAGTATTGAGCTTTCCAAGACCTTTTTTCAACAGCTACTTAACGTTTACACGTAATTAGCATCGGACGTTCACAGTCGCTCATATGACAATAACCCCTTCCACGTGATCATAGTGTGGTGAGTGCTAATGATAAGATTTACCAGTAGTATATGAAGAGACGTTCAGCGGCGTAAAAACATCAGATAGCAGGGAGATACATTTGATTTCAGAGAAGGCAAATGATACAGTGTTGTGAAGATATATCGGAGATGTGAAAGGGACACAAAGAAGCACAACATGAAGTCAAGAAGTACCATAACAGGAAGATCTGTGCAAATGGTGCGCTGAAGATAAGGTATACATAATTTGGTTACATAGAGATATCAAGTCTTCTAATGAACATTCCTTAACCAAGTGTTTCCTCTTCTACTGTTTCAATAGTAAAGAAGACTTACCTGGTACAGGCTATCAATGCATGATCATTTAAGAACACATCAAGAAGAGGACTATAGTTTATTGACTTCAGATCATGTTACACAGTTCATACTGGCTTTTCGAGTATAAAGTCGACGATTTCATCTCTTAATGTATTCATCAACAAAGGGACCGCCGCTATGTTAACCATAGTCACAAAAAGTGACTCTTTCGAGACACTTCAGTCGTAATTATAAATCATGTCTAACTGACTGGTTTCAACGTAAAACTTTGCACAGATGTGCAGCAGTTCAAGTGGCCACACTCCCTCTATGTAGCACACAAAGCAAGAGTAGAGAACAGAAGAAATGCAAAATAGAGACAGTAAATAGTGACATGAGACAAAAAGGAATAGTAATAACGAAGAACAATATAGTTTTATTGGAAATTGTAAGTTACAAAGAGTGGATGCATCTGCGCCATTGTGAACGATTTTGAGCCATATCACCCCAACCAGCCAGGAAGTCTACATCTTCCTATGTGGCTTAAACTAACTCTTGTGGATTTCATTGACGGATGCCATGTTTTGGTTTGACCATCATGTGCTAGCTCTTTTCCAGCCTGACCCTATGTCAGCTAACATTGCCGTTCGAGGAAGGTGATAACTAGGCAGGCATGCGCAACACATATCCTAACCATCTCAGTCGACGTAACTTCACAGCCTCGTCTATTGATTTCCCCTCTTTACCTAGCACTCGACGTCTAACCTCAATATTGTGCGTCGGTGGCACAGTGGTTAGGACTCTCGCCGACCATGCACACGGTCCGGGGTTCGATCCCCTGGGACGCACACCCGATATCTATGGTCGGCCTGCAAAAATTTGGGCTACCGATATCCATGCTGAAAACTCCATACTTGTACTGAAAATACGGTGTGGAATCAAGCTGTAACCAAAAATAAATAATTATACCATTTCACACGGGAGATAGAACGCAGGCACCTATGATCAAAGACAGCTAGCCAACCTTTTTATGTCTTCCACTCCCAATGGCCAGGTCTCACTCACAGCCATAAAGGAGGACGGAGTGAACTGCTGAGTAGTACACACGTCATGTATTTAATAAACACTAATGTAAGAGTAGAATTTGGTCACTAGGGTCAAATATAGTTCCATAGTAGATAAGCTTATTTAATATACTAAATAATAACACATTATTATTATAAGTGGAAGACATTTCAAGTATAGTTTATTGCTCATAGTAGTACCAATGTATTCACACGAACTGGTAACTCGGTAGGATGAAGACATTAAAATATAGTTAGGTAGAGAGAGAGAGAGGCCAACCGCTGAATCTTTGTTCCATTTGTTAAGCACTAGGTAGAGACTACTGTCATGCGTGTCGGTCATTGTTTGGTGTAGACTAAATTCTATCAGCCAAATTTGCAATATGAGCCATCATGCTAGGTGGCTGGCAATCATAGTGAACTCTCAATTTGTTGTTATTAGATGCCTGGAGGTAATAGACAAGAAATCTTCAACCTAGGTGTTGTGCTTGTTAACATTCACGATTCATTAAGGCTTGTCTGCGATCTTGAATGGACTCATGTCTCATCTGAGATTCGAACCCATGTCACACCCAGTGTGTTGCAGTCAGCGACGAAACTTACGTCCAAGGCTTCCTGACAACTGTTTCCAATAATCATCTAATAACAACGATTCGCAGTGCACTGTGATGGTGAGCCACCTTGCATTATGACCATATTGCACATTTAATTGATAGAATTCTGTCTACACCAAACAGTGGACTAGACACATGCCATTAATTAATATCTAGTGTCCAATCAAGGTATACAATAAAGTCCTACAGGAGGTCACTCGTGCAAGCCTGAATAGCTCAATGGAAACGTCTCTAACTTCAGCATTGGGTATGTGGTGAGAGATGGCTGCTAGCCAAATTGGTTGACAGTAATTGAAGTCAATGTTTATGTATCAAATATTAGTCATGTTGTGGTGAGAGATGGTTGCTAGCCAAATTGGTTGACAGTAATTGAGGTCAATGTTTATGTATCAAATATTAGTCATGTGAAAACAAGGTCAAAGATGGACAGCAGACAGTTAACATATAGATGAACTGACACAGCCACGAAGAGATGCAAGGTTAACTTTGTGTGCGAAACAACCAATCAAAAGACTGTATTTTCTACTAGCATTAATCTACAATAATGTATATTAAAATCTATAAATATGTGTTGATTTTCCATAATAAACGTTCTGTTGCCCGACTCTTGCCTTCTGTCGTTACAGGTAACGCGGGTTAGAATGTCAGAAGGGAAATAAATCCTTTCAAGGATGCTGATAAGCCTTGCTGACGAGTATCGACAAGTACGAAATCTAGGTTGAAGTCTTTCTGTCGATTACCTCCAACCATTGAATAACAACAATTCAGAATATTCGTTTATCGAATCAACACGTAACGCCTACATCCACCACATGGAAAATTCCTTTAAAAACGAGAGTAGGATTATGCAAAGTTATCGAGTCATTTGATATACATATATATAGTGATATTGTAACAACAGAAGACAAGGGCCAGGCAACAGATCGTTTATTACGAAAAATCAACACGTATTTATAGATTTTTATGTACATTATTGTAGGTCAATGTTAGTAGAAAATACAGTCTGTTGATTGGTTGTTTCTCACACAAAGTTGACCTTGCATCTTTTGTGGCTGTGTCAGTTCATCTATATGTTAACTGTAACCGCCTGTCCACCTTGACCTTTGACCTCAATTACTGTCAACCAATTTGGCCAGCAACCATCTCTCACCACAACATGACTAATATTTGATACATAAACATTGACCTCAATTACTGTCCACCACTTGGCTAGTAGACCGCTCTCACCACACTCGTCCCCCCGTCAAATAGTTTGGACTGAAGTCGGCTCGGTCTTCTCGGTTCTTGGGGCTTTGCTCTGTTGTCTTGCTGTCTGGAATCTCGGCGCTTGCGGATGTCCACTTGTTTAACGGTGTTTACCATTGCGATTGTGTCTGCGTAACCCCATCTCAACGTGACCATATATGGTCCTTCCCACTTTGGAAACTGTTTGCCTGACCCTGTCGCACATTCGTAGGTATTTCGCCTCACACTTCCATATGCTGCTTTCTCCCGACCTCCCAGCAGCGTCCCAAGTAGCAGCCTTATCGCTGACAGATCTTGAACGCCACTCAACTGCGAATAAGCCTCAAAGTCCTGCCCGAAGATCCATATGTCTTCATCAAAAACTGCAGGGCATAGGCTTTCCATTTGTCGGTAGGCAGCGACACCAAATGTAACAACAGAAGACAAGGGCCAGGCAACAGATCGTTTATTACGAAAAATCAACACGTATTTATAGATTTTTATGTACATTATTGTAGGTCAATGTTAGTAGAAAATACAGTCTGTTGATTGGTTGTTTCTCACACAAAGTTGACCTTGCATCTCTTGTGGCTGTGTCAGTTCATCTATATGTTAACTGTAACCGCCTGTCCACCTTGACCTTTGACCTCAATTACTGTCAACCAATTTGGCCAGCAACCATCTCTCACCACAACATGACTAATATTTGATACATAAACATTGACCTCAATTACTGTCCACCACTTGGCTAGTAGACCGCTCTCACCACAATATGATTATGAGCAGCAATAAATTGTCCTCGAAAAATCATCCAGTTACTCACATGGTATCACTTACTGTAAGTAATATCTGATAAAATTATCATCAGATATGGAATCTGATATCCGTTAGTTAGTATACATCACACCATATGTGTTACGAACATAATACATACATAAAATATTTATAAATCTTACAAAATCAATTACCTTTCCAACTCTGATTTTGTAAAATACGATGAAGTTAATGTATCTTTTCCAACCATTAGTAATTCTTCCAACTCAGGAGAAGCACGTAGTGTACACGGCCAACCCATAACTATCGGTTGACGAGATGATGATGATGAATTCACCAATGATAAACTATTTGCGCCTTCTGATGAAGTCTTTGAGCAAGAATAAAGTGTTTGATGCTTTCGTGTCAGTGGGGCATGAAGTGGTAACCAACATGGGGTTGGGGTAGTGGTGATTATATTGTCATTATTTCTATCATTATTCTTATCATCAGATGAGTTGATATTCAATGAATCAATCATAGAGGTTATAGTCTGACTGGCGTCTAACCACGTATAGCTGGGATAAAATAATAATAATAAAGAATTAATAAGTAATCATAAGGATGATATTGGCTTCATTCAGAAAAATGCCTTGGACAATGATATAATGCAAAATTTACTAACTGAAGAGAAGAACAAGATAAGTTTGATCACCTTACTGATATTAGTTAGACAACCATCGAGAGACCAGGAAGTACTGGACAGACGTTTCGTCCTAGTTCCGGGACTCTTCGGCGATACACACCCACCACCAGTGTTCGGATCGGATTCCAGTGATTGAATGCTTTACGAGCTCGCCTTGTAACCAGAAGGTATTGCGTTGCAACCCCGGTGGTTTCATGGATGCGTACTGCCGACGACGAGTCCCAAAACTGGGACGAAACAGCTGTCCAGTACTCCCTAGTGGTTTTCAATGGTTCTCTGACTAATTTCAATCCGTGATCAAACTTGAAATAAGATCAAGCTGTAAAGCAAATATCTTGAAAAGTTGAAGATTGAAATCAAAAGTTGCCTGAAGGCCAGGGGGCAGTGGTAGTGGTTGGATCTGCTTCTTTTGCACACAGAGCTCCTGTTGATTTAGGTGAATTGCAATGGCCTCCTCTGTAGTTCGGAGTGTCGGGTATTTAAAAGCCTTTGGTAATTTATTCGATATCCGGTAGAATCGAATGAAGAATTTATCGAAAAGAACACTGGATGATGCAAGTTTGAATCACCGATGGGGGCATCAATTCCGAGGTTGAAGATATTCCTTGCTGAAAGGTAGTGGTAAGCACGAAACTCACATCCAGGGCTACCACTCAATTGTCTCCAACCATCTAAAATTACTTCTAAAAGTGCGCAGCAATGCCGTCTCCTGGAGTGGTAATGGTATTGAAAGTTGACTGGTGGTATTTATTCAGTATCACTAAGGTTACTCACCAGTGATCAATCACTATAAGGTTACACTACTTGGCGATTCAGTAACACATGTGCAGACACTGTTAAATTTTGTTTTAAATTACTACTGAAAGCCGAGAAGGCGGCAGGACGGGACGAAATTCTACTTGAAGCAATGGAAACGGATCCTGAAGACCTTAGCGGATATGCTGAAGCTACTGTTGCAAAAAGTTTGGAAGGAAAGGTACCTACTGGTTGGGAGAAAGACTGCACTGTCAAACTACCAAAGAAGGTAAACTTTGGCCTCTGAGAAAACTGGCGCGGAATCATGCCCTTGTACACGCCAAGTAAAATACTAAGTCACGTTATCCTGGAGAGAATAAAAGATGCACTGGATGCAGAACTCCGCCACCCACCGGAACAAGCTGGATTCAGGAAAGGCAAATCATTTGCTGATCAAATTGCAACTCTACGCATCGTCATCACAGAACAAAGCATAGAATGTCAGTCAAACCTCTACCTCAACTTCATCGAATTTGAAAAGGCCTTCGACAGCGTTAGCCGAGAAGTAGTTTGAAAACTACTTTAACACTATGAAGTGCAGTCCCCCAAATCTTTGTCAACCTCATTCAACAGCTGGCTATATGACAATGCCACGTGTTAGGTGGTCTACAATGGAAAACTCAGCGAGGCCTTTCTGTTGAACTGAATACAGGAGTAAGACAAGACAATGATATTCCTAATTGTGGTGGACTGGATTATGCGCCAGAGTGTGCACAGGGAGTGAGAAGACAAGAATACGCTGGACCACCGACAAGAAGACTCTAGAAGATCTGGATTTCGCAGATGATATATGTTTAGTGTCATACAAAGTCGAAGACTTGCAGGCGAAAACCAACAAACTGGTTGAAGAAGCAGCGAAGACAGGACTTCAGGTGAACATAGAAAAGACAAGGTGAAAATGTACTGTTGAAGACTTATGTTCCATTGTGAACCCAAGGGAGTAATGATAATAATGGCAAATATATTATAAACTTTATAAAGTTAGTAATGATTATTCGTAAATAAACCTATTAAATAGGTATAAACATGATAGAATAAGTATTCATTAATGGTATAATCTCAACAATAAAACTTCAGTAACACACCTTGGTTTAGCTATCTGTAAGAAGACATAAATTGATCCACTTCCATTCGATCGACAACTGTCTATCCGTTTAATATGATTAAATTTCTCTGACAGTGGTAGAAATGTTTGCAAGTATTGATTAATTTTACTTAGATAAGGACCTGATTTAACCAGTACACACCAACCTGGTACCAAATGTAATCGACAACATTCAACTTCATGTGGAAGAATCGCTATCAATTTTGAAGCTGTTGTACAAGGATTTTGATGTGTTGAAGCGGACAGATCATTGTCAACACGTTTTTTCTTACACAGTGGCGAACAGTCTGCCTATAATGAAAAGGTGGTAGGTAATTAAATGTGAAGCGAATACTAAGTGAGTTATTAAATTATTTTCTGAAATCACCATAATTAGAATCGATTTTCCGCCTTGAATTTAAATCGCAAAGTGCACAGGAAAGCAGAAAACTCAAACATTTACAAAGACCAGTAACTTTCTCTTTGAGTTATGACGAAGAGATTGCCAAGAGAGTTCTGTATCCAGGTTAAGGTTTTTAACAATTGATATAATCTTAAAAACTTAGCCTAGATAATTTATTCAAAAAAATTGAGTGGTAGAGCATGTTGGTCAGTTCACTTATTTAGGCAGTTGCATCAACCCCAAGGGACTGTGATGGCTGATGAGATATCAGCACGAATACGAAAGGCTCGTGTGGAATTTTCCAGCTTACACCATAACTGACTATCGATTAAAGGATGTGTGTACTGAGTAGCAGTTCGCTGTGTCCTCATTTATGGCCGTGAGACAGCCATTGAAACTGGGAGATATGAAAAAAAGGCTAGTTGACTTTGATTAGAAATGTTTGAGTTGTGTCTCCGTCAGTCGATGAAGCTATATCAATTGAGACGGCTAGGACACATGTCACGCATGCCGAGACATCGCCTTCCTCGACGAGCAATATTGGCTAACATAGGGTTGGGTAACAAAACAGTTAGGGGGCCATGAAGTCGTTGAAATTTGTTTTGAACTAATAATAATCATAATAATAATGATTTACTTTATTCCAAAAACAGTACTTGTGATCCATAATGTAATTTTCAACATTAATCACAATATTGCATCTAACTTCTCAAAATATAAATAAAATTAATCACACAGAAAATTTTCCACATTTACAATAGGAGTAATGTCACAAACATGCAGCATATAAAATGGAAATAGTAATAATGATAATAGCTAAGGTGCGGTGAGAGATGGTTGCTAGCCAAATTGGTTGACAGTAATTGAGGTCAATGTTTATGTATCAAATATTAGTCATGTTGTGGTGAGAGATGGTTGCTAGCCAAATTGGTTGACAGTAATTGAGGTCAATGTTAGTCATGTGAAAACAAGGTCAAGATGGACAGACGGATACAGTTAACATATAGATGAACTGACACAGCCAAAAAGAGATGCAAGGTTAACTTTGTGTGACAAACAACCAATCAACAGACTGTATTTTCTACTAACATTAACCTACAATAATGTACATCAAAATCTATAAATATGTGTTGATTTTCCGTAATAAACGTTTTGTTGCCTGGCCCTTGTCTTCTGTGGTTACAAGGTAATAATAATAATACAAGTGAAAATTGACGTGGGCTTGTTTCACACAGTATTGTCGATGCGGTATAGAAATCCTAGCATGTTTAAAAATATTGAATATAATGTTCTCTCTACATGATATGGTGAAGGGAAAAACAAAGATTACAGAAGTCATAGAGATAAGTTGGTGTTTGCAATTGTAAAAGTAAAACAAAGAAGTAACAGGACCATAAATATAATAGAAATAATAAAAGTAAAACTTGAAGGTATATAAGGATGGATGGAGGAAGTTGTTTATTTACTGGATGAAAAAAGGTTAGTTAATTCTTGCCTGACACTACTTTCATCACATAAAATACGTGCCAAGCATGGTATCATAGAATGTTTGCACTTAGACGTGCGAGCATACAGTTTTCTGAAGTTACTTCTTGTTATATCTGAGGAGATGCAAGGTGAAAGCTGAGGGTGAAGTGGATGCTCCAAGTCAGACAAAATCTCTTTGGCAAATTTACTGCACGAAGTCAAATGCCTATCGACAACAACGTTAACTATGTAATCCACTGGGACACCACTCATCCTACTGACAGTCTTCAGCATTCTACGAATTGTGACATAGTCCTTTTTAAGCAAACCAGGAAAGAATAAGGGTGAACAATAAAGAAGAATAGGTAGGATGCAAGAGTTTATAAACTGTAAGAGGAGGGGTTGAGTTATACCCCAGTGCCTTAACTTCTTAATGTAAAATGTCAGGCGGAATATTTTACTAAAGATCGCTAAGACATGGGAAGACCAGGAGAAATGAGAAGAGAGAATAAGTCCAAGATACTTAATTTCTGATTTAATTCCTATATCACTGTCGTCAATCTTACAACTGTCATGAGAATCGATGGCTTCTTTTAACTGTCTTTTACATCTTAAGCTGAAATTAACTGTTTGACATTTAGAAGGATCCAGTTTAAGACAGTTAGACTCAGACCCTTTACCAACAGAAAGCTATTTATTTTGGTACAATCTAGCTGGGAGTTAACAGCCATTGAAACTGTTAAATCATCAGCGTACTTCACAAAGTTTATTTCATCAGAGTGAGGCAAGTCATGTAAGAAGAAAGAAAAAAGAACTACGTAAGAAGGTGTGGACTATTTGGTTGGAGTCTTCGGGATGGTAAGAATCGACAGCTGGAGACTATTGTTGATATGGATCAAAACAGTTCTCATTGGCGCAGATGCATTCATTCATTCATTCTTTCTGATCTCTCATATTCATTAGACCATCATGTCTTTCCACGTTACTACTCTTTCCCATGCATATTTCAGCCAATAATAATTCCTATGCATTTCTTTCTTTCTTTTCCCTACCTTTGTGTGCTATATGGAGTGTGGCAACGTGAACTGCTGCATTTCTGTGCTCAATTCTATGTTGAAACCCAGTCGGCCATTTTTTTTCCCTTTCCTTCACGTTCCCCAGTGGAACATAGGGCTTCAAGCTAGTGGCTTGAAGTTTCTGTAGCAGTGTTTATTTTACAGGATGGGGTTGCTAGCCTCATGCCCAACCTTTCCTCTTCACCAGCATTACTTCTGGCTTAGCGCGGTAAACGAGTGCGTCGGCCGAGGATCGAACCCCGGACCATGTGCATGGTTGGCGGCCATTCGAATAATTAATTTCACAAGGGACTCATTAATTAACCCTTATATTGTAAAACACACTGGTAACACAGTAAGCACTAACATTTTATTGAGATTGTTGATGTCCCCAAAACTGTCTGAGTGATGGAACAAATATGAATGCCCTAAATCATAGTTGGGTAGACTTTTCTTTTAAGTGAACGAATGACTTAAGGTTTCAAGCATTCGACTAACAACCATTGCGTATGGGGTGTAACGGAATAATTGTTACCGGCCTGCTTAAAACTTGGACTGCCGTAAGTCTCCATCAATATATTGGATATGATTTCTTTTATTAAGTCTGTTTAAATCTAGTATAGTATGACTGTGGTGATAGCTGTGTGCAAGACAAAATTGGTAGACAACAATTGACGTCAATGTTCACGCGTCCCGAATCGGGGTCATGAGAAAAAACAAGAACAAAACATAGCCTTGAGGAACTCAACAACCAATCACAGCAGACTTAACGTGGGCGGATACGATTCGCAGATATATATCAACGGACTGTCTAAGAAACGGACGGCAACAAAGAGATGACAGAATAACCTTCATCAGGAAAACAACCAATCAGAAGACGTTGCTTCTCTGCTAACAATAACGCTAATAATAATGTACATAAAAATCTATAAATATCTGTTGATTTTCTCAATAAACAATCTGTTGCCTGGTCCTTGTCTTCTGTCGTTACAGTATGACCTCAAATAGTACTGTTTACTCTGGCGAGTATTTGAAATATTTAAAACATGCTAATTGGGAAGTTTTCACTAAACGTGAGAAAGAGAATTATCCCCGATGGTAGCTTATCCCAATACATGAGATGACCGTTTCTCAAAGGGGACCTTGGTTCACAAAATGTACCCCTGAACTTTTTATAATTGGCATTCAACAAAATGTCGTTGTTGTGTATTTCTCGAAGGAGCAAAAGGAGAGATATCATCATAATGGATTGGTATGCTCTTTAGGTCAGACAGAACTGTGTCACACGGTCTACTGTCAGTTCTGAAGATCCTGGATGCACAGAAAATATCATGCAATAAAACCTGCTGAAAATTCAGTACACTATATAAACACTGTTCACAATAAAGCTATTATTATTATTCTCAGAAAATCACTCCCGAACGATCTAATTACAGCATTAATGCTTATTTGGATGTTCCAACTGACATTGGAATTGAAGTATTGGTTTGTAGGGATTTGGTTGATTGGTTACAGGATTTCATCATGAGCTGACATCAGTTAGAGAACCACTGGAAAACCTGGGAGTACTGGACGGCTGTTTCGTCCTAGTTTGGGACTCTTCGTCAATACGCACCGACTCGGATTCCAACCCAGGACCTTCTGGTTACAAGGCGAGCTTGTAAACCATTAAGCCACTGGGACCCAATCTAATGGCCCATGAATTCTAACTTCTGCCAATTCACCATTTAGCGCAACCGCTAGCCAATGTCTTCGGCGAGTATTTGTCCTCACGCCCGACCGGCCGCACTCTATTGGTTAGAATTCATGGATCATTGGATCGGGTCCCAGTGGTCTAATGGTATACGAGCTCGCCTTGCAACCAGAAGGTCCTGGGTTCTAACCCTGGTGGGTGCGTACTGATGAAGAGTCCCAAACTAGGACGAAACAGTTTCCAGTACTCCTAGGTTTTCCAATGGTTCTCTAACCAATGTTAGCTCATGATGAAATCCTGTGACATTGCAATTATTGTTTCTTTTTCTCCTAGACCGTATATCATTGTTCTGACATTTGCATATCACACGCTGACTTGATCCTTATTATTTGTCTTTTTCACGGTTTCATCTCGAATTTTTATCCCCCTCTTGATGGTTGTGCGATGACATTGATAATGTGTTTTACAGTGTTTGAATGAAGGTCATTCTGAGCCTAGACTATCTGTGGGAAGCTTTGGTGTATGATTCTTGTGGACAGAGTTTTTGATCCCAACCTTATTTGGGAATATTCTACTTGATTATAAGGTACTTCTTATGATCGAATTTCGGCTAACCAATTTCGTTCTACAGTGCTAGTTTTGCACTTAAAAAATTATCTAGCCTGCCTAACGGCGCTATTAAGGTAAATTTGAGTTTTTGATATTACTGTTATTGAATAGAACCATATGTTTCACAGTGAATAACCGTCTTTTTGATGTCTTTGGAGCGTTTTTTGACTGTGTGTTTGTGTCTCAAGGAAGCTTTAGTCAACTATGCAGTCGACACAGAGATCAGTTTTCTGCCTCCAGGCAACAACAAGTCGGTTTTAGGCATTAAACGGGGTTTTGACTGACATTACGTAATTTCACTACTACAGTGGACTGATTTAATAACATTGTGCGTCGCTGACTCGGTAGTGAAATGCTCGTCAACCACGCCACACGCGGTTCAGGTTCTACCCCTGGCTGATACACTCTTGAACATTGCTTAATAGCTGTTGTCAGCCCGGTAAAGAGGGAAGGCTGGGTCGGTCGGTTTTCGACATAGAACTTTGCACATATGTGCGGCAGTTCAAGTCGCCACACTCCATGTAGCACACAAAGCAAGAGAAGAAAGTAGAAGAAATGCATAATATAGTCAGTAAACAGAGGTGTGAGAAAAAGGAATAGTAACAACGGAGAACAAAACAGTTTAATTGGAAATCATAAGTCACAAGGAGTGGATGCATCTGCGCTGGCCATTGAGAACGATTTTGAGCCATGTCACCAAATGTTTCCAACCATTGGTTTTTACCATCCCGAGGACCCCAACCAGGAAGTCTACATCTTCCTACGTGGCTTAGACTAACTGTTGTGGATTTCATTGACTGGTGAAGCTATGTTGTGGTTTGAACACCGCTAGCTCTTTTCCAGCCTGGCCCTATATCAGCTAACATTGTTCGTCGAGGAAGGCGATGACTAGGCATACGTCCTAACCATCTCAGTCGATGTAATTTCACAGTTTCGTCGACTGATTTCCCCTCCTTACCTAGCACTCGACGCCTGGGTATGAAGCTTAGCAGAGCCACTCCTCTAAAAATTAACACGACCGCTAATAAAACTTCAAAGCTGAAGCTTAAGGCCCTGTTTTTCACTCAGAACGGAAAAGAATAAAGAAAAATACAGCAATTGTAGCTTATAGTTGAAGCTACGAAACTGGACAAATTTTTCATCGACCCCTAGATTAGAAATAGGAAGTGAAGTGTAGACACTTGACCGCTTCAATTACTTGGAAGTACCATCAGCCCAACCGGTTGATCTCAGACGAAATTTCAGCACGAATACAGAGGGCTAGTTCGCATACGCCAGTTTCGCCGTCTCTGGCGTAGACGCGATATCCGACTATCGACCAAAGGACGGTGTACTGCTCAACAGTCCGCTCCGTCCTCCTTTATGGCTGTGAGACATGGTCATTGAGAGCAGAAGACATGAAAAGATTAGCTGTCTTCGATCATAGGTGTCTGTGTTCTATCTCCCGCGTGAAGTGGTATAATAAGGTGAGCAATATTGAGGTTAGGCGTCGAGTGCTAGGTAAGGCGGGGAAATCAATAGACGAGACTGTGAAATTACATCGACTGAGATGGTTAGGACATGTGCTGCGTATGCCTAGTCATCGCCTTCCTCGACGAACAATGTTAGCCGATATAGGGCCAGGCTGGAAAAGAGCTAGCGGTGTTCAAACCACAACATAGCACCAGTCAATGAAATCCACAACAGTTAGTCTAAGCCACGTAGGAAGATGTAGACTTCCTGGTTGGGGTCCTCGGGATGGTAAAAACCAATGGTTGGAAACAGTTGGTGACATGGCTCAAAATCGTTCTCAATGGCGCAGATGCATCCACTCCTTGTGACTTATGATTTCCAATTAAACTGTTTTGTTCTCCGTTGTTACTATTCCTTTGTCTCACACCTCTGTTTACTGTCTATATTATGCATTTCTTCTACTTTCTTCTCTTGCTTTGTGTGCTACATGGAGTGTGGCGACTTGAACTGCCGCACATATGTGCAAAGTTCTATGTCTAAAACCGACCGACCGACGTATCAATTAAATTACGATTGAGCAAGACTTTTGCTAAGCTGCTTATACATATAATAAGTCACATATACCCTTCTTTGTATTGTCGGTATTCTCAGTAATTGATCACTTTGTTAAGATGAATTCTACGAAATATGCACCTCAAAATACATTAGGCAACCGGAGTGACGATAATCATTCAAAATTTATCAATATTATCTATGACTTAAAACCTCCACTTTATACTCTATAGTATGTGATAAATGGACTCTAAAATTGAGAGAGATTTTCAGTAGGAGTGCACGAAGTTGTCATCTTTATTCTTCAAATCGTGGAAAATACCCATCAGGACATTAGAGAGAACTATTAATACCATATTCCGACGTGAGAATTCGTATTTAGGGATAAAATTATACATTCATAAGCTGCATTTTATTGGCAGTACTTTAAAATTTAGAAAGTAACATAGCGTTACCATATCTACAGTGTTTGTGTGCTAAAACAGCGAATTGCCCGCAAAAATGAACATGGATTGAAATAACAAATTAAAAAAACAAAACAAATGAACTATGTTAAGTTCTGTGTAGATCCGTTATTCCATCAAAAAAAAGTAAGACATTATTACAAAGCAACAAGCTACCCAAATCTTATTACATACAGTAACGCACTTTATGACAATTTAGATTGGAGTTAAACTTTAGGCACCGAAGAGGTATTAATGTACCAATGGCTTTGGAACGCTGTGAGCAAGTTAGTGAAACCAAGTAAATGACTTCATATTCGTGAATAAAACATATGCTTAATGAAGTATTATGATAGTAAACGGGATAATCCGGTAAAATTTAGCTAGATAAGGTTAGGTTTAAGCTAGGGCCAGTTTACGGTCAGGTTAGCCTAATTAAGGAGATGTTAGACTCGGTTCGAGGTGGATTAGTGTTAGGTTAGACATACGTGTAGGTGAGGGTTAGAAGACGAAATCTACCTTCCAGAGTTATAACTGGTTCCATGGTCAGTGGTGCATAAAGTTTATATTTGTCCAACTTAGTTATGCTACCTTTCCCTAGAAATCTGTAACATGTGAATTAAAATACAAAGTGGAAACTGTGACCACCACTCAGCACATACTTCAAACCATCCCATGGAGACAAATAATCAAAACGGAATGTAAACAAATTTGTTAAAACCAATCAGATATAGATATCAAAACAAAGGAAATACTGAAAGCAGGCGAACTACCTACCTTTACCTCATCTTCCAAATGAGGCAGGAAATACAAGTCATCACTTTCTTCACCTTCATTGGGTTGACTGCAAACTGACAGATCAGGATTATCAGTACATTCGTCAGTGTCCCATCCAGCAAATCTCAACAGATTTATTACTCGTTTAGCATGCAATGGATGTATTGACAGAAGATTTTCTTCAAAATTAAATACATATTTCTCTATACCTGAAAATAATCCATCAAGAGAAATGGGTGCAGATTAATTTTAAATAATAATAATGATCTGCTTTATTCCAAAACAAACAGTACTCATAATACAGCATGGAACTCTCAGCATTTGTCACAATATTACACCTAATTTACTTAAAATATAAATGAAAGTAACCACAGGAATTTGTCCACCTTTGCAGTAGGAATATAGTCGAAAATACAGAAAGTACAAAATGAGAATAATAACTCTAATGATAATAACAGTGGGTTTGTTTTAAACAGTAATGTCGATACAGTATGGAAATTTTAGCATGTTATGGAGTATTGAATCTAATGTTCTTTTGATATAGCGTGGCGAAGGGAAAAACAAAACAATAACAATTATTACAGAACTTAAATGATGTTGACACTTATGAGAAAATAAACACACAAAAAATGCGGGGATTATAAGTACAAGAAGAATAATAACAGTGGTTTTGTAGGCCACAGACATGATACTGATTTTGTCAAGTTATTCACTGCTGCCAGCAGACAAACAAATAGGAAGATGCTAGCAATTGCGCTGGCTTGTGCACTTAGAGTTTAGAGAGAAGCAAATGACGGAACTCTGAATCTACCATGGTAATTGTCTTACTTCTCAATTGTCATTATTATTAATATTTTTATTCTATATTTTATTCTACCTCATTATTATTATTATTCTTGATCCATTTAAAACCATGGTTTTATTAGTATCATTCTCGTAAATCGTAATAGTAATATTATTACCACTACTATTATTATGATCAGTACTAATCAGTATGTAATTCTTGAAATATTCCTGTCCTTCCTCTGACATTACTATTATTCCCTCAGGTTTCGAGTGGAACATAAGGATTCAACAGAACATCTCTAGTTTCTGATATTCTCGGCAGCCCTCTTTAGGTGACTCCACGGCTGCCCATAACCACTGATCTTCTACTCATCGTTCCCCATTCGAGTGATGACCTGGCGCGCGATTTCATTCGACGGTCTCCTTCGCATGCGCCCAGTCCATCTCCATTTTCTTCGGAATATTTTTCGAGCACAAGGTTATTGGTTGGTCAGTTCCCAAGAGTTCCTTGTTGCTAATTCTATCCGATCTTCAGTATGCAACCAGCGAAAGCTAAGTGGAGAAGATTTCCAAACTCATTTCAGATTTAGATAAATCAATAAGAAGACGTAATTTGTCTGAATCGTGTAATGTATTTGCGCAACACATTTCGAACAATCGGATCACACACGGACTTGTCATAGTAAGGTGCCTCTTCAGTAGTATCCAACGAATATGCACTCAAGACACACTTGACGAAGAAGGAAAGTTGAAACAAACTCTGGTTGATGATAATAATTATCCAGACAAGTTCATTAGGAGATATAAAGTAGTCAGAACACCAAGACCCACTCTACGACTCGCCCCTAAGAAAGACGTGTACATCAAGCTACCCTATATGGGGCATCATAGCAGCTTGATAACTAGACAAAGACTGAACGCTGTGGTTAAAAAGACTTTATGAAGCTAATATCATAATAATTAAGAATATGAAGCCAATATATCCATCTAAGCCCTTCGAACATGCGAACATCCCACTGTATTTACCGATTTGAATGTACATGTGGACAGACATACATAGGGAGGACTCATAGATTTCTGCAAGTAAGGGTTTCACAGCATATTCCTAAATGGCTCCAGAAACAAATGGAATCTTCAGAACCCATTAATTGTGAGAACAGGAGACCTAGCTCCTCTATTGCGAAACATATTATAGAGACAGGACATAAAATTGACGTTAACACATCTTTTAAACCTATCTATAAAACGTGTTTGGGGCGTATCCTAAAGTTTGTGGAAGCCCTAGCTGGCAATTAGAAAGTTTAAACCACCTTTATGCGTTCAATCAACAATTCGTCATCACACTAAACCTTCCTTGGTAAATTTTGTTTTAATACCATAGTAGATGTACTATTACCTCTGTTACTTGGTTTAGTGGTCTTCATTGTTATTTCGACCTTGAATATGTCCTTTTAACTTGACCTAAGTGGCCTGTTTTCTCACCTCTTAACTCGTTATTAATTTTATATATACTCCTATGAAAAGTCCGTGTGTGATCAGATTGTTCGAAATGTGTTGCGCAAATACATTCAACACGATTCAGACAAATTACGTCTTCTTATTGCTTTATCTAGATATCTTAAATGACACAGAATAGTGATGGAAAGTAGCTAGACTCTCAGTTGAAAAAGGAAACTCAAGTTCGTGTAATTTGATGAATACATGAATGCATTTTAAGAATTTATGCCTACCGCAGTATACTCCAATGATATGGTGAACTGTAGATAGACAATTTTTACAACCGCCAATGTTTACTTTGATCTGTAGGGGAAAAAAGAGCAGAAGAGAATCAAGAGATCACTCATTCACCACAATAGAACAATTTTTAAAATTAGGTTGAAGCTTAATTCGAGTAGAACACCAATAACGATATGGATTAAATCAATAAAGGATGTCAACTGCTGGATTTCTTCACTAATTAACATCAGTTACAGAGACAGTTTGGCAGCTAGGGAGCACTGGACAGCCGTTTCACCGCTTTTTAGGACTCTTAATCAGTGTACACCTACGACCCGACCAGGCATCGAATCCAGGACCTTCAGGTTACGATACCAACTTCGTTGACTATTCAGCCAGTCAATTCGACTGTAATTCAATGATCCATGAATTATAACTTTGTCAATTCGCGATATAGCGCTACTCTCACGTGAACTGCTAAAGATTCCGAAAATCGGACGAAACAGCTGTTCAGTACACCCTGATGGTTTTTAATGATCTCCCCCTAACTGATATTAGTTCTTGAAGAAATTTAACAGTAGAAGTTAATCCAAATCTCATAATCGAAAAAGAGATATCCTACTATTTTCTAACACCCTTTCAGAAATGGCTTTTAATATAGTGAACATGTTTGTTGAAGAGAAGCGTCTGCATGTGCTTTACATGATTTGGTTAGTAGTACCGGATGTTTGAATCATTAGGATTTGTAGTTATATTGGCGAAGTTACAGAATAGCAGCCAACTTCAAGAAACCTGAGAATAACCTTGAGGGGACTAACTATGAATGCTTTCTCAGTTTACTACAATTCTGTTGGATTTCAGGTTCATAGTTAGGCTAGGGAAAGGGATAATTATCCCGTTAGGCATTCCATAGGCGCTGGGTTCGAGTCTCAGTGGGGACGCCACCAATCACTCACTGGGGAATGCAGGTTCATTCAGATGATGAGTTCCAAATAGGACGAAATGCGCGTTATCCTGGATTCCACTGCTAGTCACCATCCATCAATTAAATTCTTATTACGTGTCCAGACATCGTCGGAGCATCTACACAAGAAGCCGACATGTCAACCTGAAACCAAGCACTTCGGTCCAATCAATCGACGGGAAAATCTAAAATTCAATTAAATCTACAAGTTCTTTTCATTAGTCCATTGAGTTTGCTTATTCAGTCATTTTGTGACTGCTATCCTGTAATTGAACTTCTTCGCTAACCCCAGATTTATAAATTCGGAAGATTTTTAAGGTGGAACAAACTTTAGAAACTATTTAACGATAATTAACCTCAGATTTAATCCTTCTTCCTGTCTAAAAAGTATGAATTCTATTCCAGAGCTTATTGTTCGAGTTCAGTCCCTGGAACAGGCTTTTCATGTTCCGTGCTATGAGTCACACTTATTATGTGAAGGCTTACGATACTATTCAGCTGCTCAGGCTGAAGAAATAGGTGCACAATTTCTCAGTTGACTACAAACAAATTGATCCAGACATGGTCATTATATCTTAGCAATTAGTCAATCAAAAGTTGAGCATTTTTCGAATGCTTTAGCGTAGAAAAGCAAACTACCAACCACAGTATTTCTACACTAACACTAGGACGAAACTCTAAAACATCACTGATGACTAACACTCCACCTTAATGTAGCTTCATGGTGTCCTTGAGAGCATAATAATCTATCTTGTTTACTAAACATGTAAATATACACATTGTATTCATTTGGGTTACTAGGTTGTCGGTTGATGACTCAAAGTAATCGATCTGCTGCTTCTCGATGACCTCTGAACCTTACTTAACGTGGCTATGTCCTGACGAGCAGGCATTTGCTTCTTAGATGTACATCTAAATCATTCCCCATTTGATGTTTTGCGATCACTAATCAATGGCTAGTTTCTCATTTGTGTATCTAAATCGACTGACCACCCTCTAACGGAATCCAAATGGGGGAAGACTAGTTGGACGTGGTCTGGAGACGATCATGTGTGGAGGAGACGAGGGCATATGGGCATTCTCATAGAGCCAGCTCATAATCATATCACTGCGCTCAAATAACATTCAAACATCGTTTACATAATTCCACTATTTCTTATTCTTTGGTTTTATTGGCGGCAATATTTTCTATATCTCTGGGTAGTGGCGAGTCATGAGTCATTCTCATTGCACATGTTTGGTGTAGATTCGATGAACAAAGATTCAGTGATCAACCTTTCCCAATAGGTCTGTCCCACTCTATTCCGTGTTACTGCATGGGTAGAGATTTCTGTAAGCTAGTCATATTTCTGAGGTCAATCATTCTACAGTTAGCTAAGTTTCTATGTTGCGATGATGTGATTAACCATGCTCTACTGGATTGGCCCACCTAGTTGACTTCAGTCATTGCAAAGTATTTTCTAAATTCAATAAAAAGAATATCGTCTTATTTGGTGGACGATAAGTAGCACTGAAATCTAGGATGCGCACTTCGTCCTGTTTGAGACTCGTCAACCGGATGACATTGTCATGTTAATTCTCAGACATCGTCGAAGAGTCAAACATAATTCATTTCAATCAATCAACGCGAAAAAACAAAACTGACTTCAACAAAATAACAATCTCGTTTTGTTTTTGCATTCATTGGGAAGTAAAACAATTTTTTTATAGTGAAGTTATTTCGTCTAATTGGGTCCTTTAGCTTCCTAACAGAGTTTGTAGGTTTGAGTGCCATCCTAATCTCTGTTTTATTATGAATCCTACTTCCCCGAAAGAGGCCATAGGGGATGGAGTGAACTCTAGTCTTCCTCTCGAAATACTCTAATATGGCCACGCTTCATAGCTTCTACCAGATAATTCCTATCCACTGCCTTCACGCGGCGAGGACTGTTACTCACAAAAGTAGAAGTAGGAATGTAAACGTCTGGAGCTTGTAATCGGGCTGGCGGACGTCGATGTTTATCTAGGGGGGGGGGTTGCTGGAAAACCTTGATTTTAAACCTATGGTGTACAAGGACGCCAGAATCCAAACGGATTAAATGGCGTATGAACCTGTATTGGTCACCGTCAGCCATGGGAACGTAGTTCCTGATGCTGCTTTCCTGCATTGTGGATTAGACTTCAAGTCAAAGGATCAAGGTGTGAGTATGTGGTCCCAAAAGACAACTACCTGCTTCGGTGTGGGCGCCTAGACAGTATCCTAGCCTTCGCACAAACAATGAGACAACGATAACAGCCATATGTAGGGTTTGGGATGTCCCTTCCTTATATGGCGACATTCTGGATGCATGCCTTAAATTCCTTGATTGAGTAAAATATTATTCACACAAACACTTCTCTCCCATGTGCTAAGTGGCCTATAAGACGAGCTAGACTTATTAACATACTTAAAATTAACTGCCAGTGTATCTTCCAAACACACAAGTTTTAAAAGCTTACATACTGAATGAATACAACGAAATGGTATATTTAAATGCTAGTTCATACTACTGAAAACATGAGGCTAACTAACACCAAAAGATTTCAACTTACGCACAGAATAATTAAGCTTTATACAAGCTGACATTTTTCTATCCAGCAATGAGACTTGTTTATTAAACTGCATTTCATATACTACAACGGTGCGCCTCATATGGTTCTGGACTCTATCCCAGGCTGACGTACTCCTAAACGTCGCTAAGCCAGTAGTAAACCAGGTAAAGAGGAGGAAAAGTTGGGCGTCAGACTAACAGCCTCACTGAAACTCTAAAGCTCAAGCTTAAAACCCTAAAATATTCCACTCGGAACGCAAAAGAATAAGGTAAATATATATCAACAACAGTGGAGATCTGGTTCACTGGATTACATACTCAACTTCTAGCCAATGAACCTCTAGTTCGAGTCTCACTCCACCTACTTCAATCTGACCAACTTAAATACTTATCCATTAGCTTTCACATAATAAGTGTGGTTTATAACAGCCAACTATCATTTGGGTGGCTGAATTCTATAATAGTGTTCCCTTGAATAGAATTACTTCCTCTGCATGCATGAGATGTGTTAATGCATTTTACTTAATATATTAAAGAAATCAAAATTATTATTATAACTAGGCTGAAAGGGGATGATGAATTAACACTTTTTGAAAATATAGAAAAAAAATCCCCATTTAGACATTTAGAAAACAGAAAGATTGAGCGAAGAAATATTTACTTTTCAATTAGATCCTCATCTCACTCTGGCTCTACTCTAATATACACGTATAGCATTTTTATTACAATACACAACAGTTTACCAATCAAGTGGCACTGATATGTTTGTTAACAATAATTAGTCAGTGTCAACATGTCAAGGGGGTGATAATTAACGAAGAAAATCAATACACATTTAAAAGGTAGAAATGGTTAGAATAAATTAATTTTACAAGGATAACACGTAATTAAAGATGAAGTGGTCAGAAAAAATAAAATAATTTGGACAATTATAATTTTTATTTTTAAAGGTTTAGGGGGAGGGGGACGAAGTAGTCCGGTTTATACATTCATGTAACGATGGCCAAGGTAAGGAAAGTGGCTGTACAAATTTCTTCTAAACACACAGGTTTAGCTTCTTCAGATGGATTCCTATTGCTTCAGCTGTATGTAGAAGACGAACTTGTGGAGCAAAATTAAGATTAGTTGGAATGCGATAAATAATTTTAAATGCAGTATTAACGTCAACCTTATGCTCACTATCTACAAGGTGTGCTAAAATAGAGCTAGCTACGATTAGATCTTGTTTGTCCCTTGCTTAACCATGCTACTCCCGGCCGATAACTGCTACCTTGCCGTGGTGGTCGGGCTTGAATGCCGCAGTGACCCAACAAGCTAAACTGGCTGGGACTCATGTCCCTGCAGGTCCTACCATGCCAGGAAGGTTGTTTGGATAGCGGTTAGACTAAAAGCAGTTACCATGGGGTACATGGGCTCCAGAATCCAATCGGATCAAATGGCGTACGAACCCATATGGGTCACCGGCAACCATGGGAACGCAGCACCTGACGCTGCTCCGCTGCCTTGCGGGTTAGACTCCAAGTCAAAGGCTCGGGGGGTGGTCCCTTAAGAAAACCACCTGCTTCGGTCTGGGCACCCGGGCAGTATCTCAGCCCTCACACAATGAATGAAATAAAGCAACAAAATATCAGTGGAACTTATCGCGCGCTCGTAACAGTGCGTTCAAGCAATAATGATGTCTCAAGTAACACATCTCTTTCCAACCTTACTTTTATTTTCATACTTAGTTTCCTGTATTTTACCTTTGCTCTACTTGACTTCTTAACCTTCGACAGCCTTTCGCCTTTGTCTGGATTCCTAGCCTATCTGTGTCGTGTTGCAATTTCCTTCTTTCTTCCCTTCCTGATGAAAGCTAACGAATACTGTTTGAACTTGTTAAACATGACTGTTTTCCTTCCTGATGAAGTTCTTTATCCGTTTTCTACTTATATTTTTACTTTTAATCTATGTTGTTTTATTATTATTGTGTGGTGCATCTTTCTTGGTGCCATATTGTACCAAGTTTCTCTGCGTTTAAATAATAATAATAATAATAATAATAATAATAATGACCATGCTACTGGATGATGTTCGGAAATACGATGATGAACCTGCCTAATTGTACGCCACTTGATTGGTAAACTGTTGTGTATTGTAATAAAAATGCTATACGTGTATATTAGAGTAGAGCCAGAGTGAGATGAGGATCTAATTGAAAAGTAAATATTTCTTCGCTCAATCTTTCTACTTTTTGAAAAATCAAACAGAAAATGCACACACATACACACACACACAAACTACCTTTGTATAGCCTTCTGACATTTTGAAGCCTGTAGTCGAAAGAAATTTAAATTGATATTACTTTAAAGTTTGATTAGGCATTGAGAGGAAGAAGAAAATTGAAGTAAATAAAAAACACAACTGTATTGACTGAGTAGTGGTAATGTAACCAATTTACAGAAGATACTAAAACTGTGTCTATCTAATTTATTTGCTATTCGACAAATTAGCTGATATAATACTGGGATTCAGTTTTTGTTGATTAAGTATGTATTGATTATCGCGTATCATCATTTTGACTAGAACTGATCCAAACAGTGTATGACCCAATATCATTCCGGGTGTAACACGTCGAAAAGACTTCAGGTAAAGTTTACACATTCTTTTCATACTTTTACCGTCGAGTAGATCAGGTACTGGATAAGTTCGTATAAACAGGGCAGTAACTGCAGATGAGAAAAAGCTAAAGCCAAGAGGCAATAGAAATCCAAATGTATTCTGAAAAGGCAAATGCAAATGTATGAGAAATAAAAAACAATAACAACCTCTACAATAACTGAAGTTATTTTACTAAGAGAAATACAAAAACAAAAATAAAATAGAAATTCATAAAACGACAAAGATTGAAAGTCATAGTGATGACTTCTTACTCTAGTAGAATATCCAGTGGTTTAATAATAACGACGTAGAGTTAGTTATTAGTATTATATTCCATTATATTATTCAGTTTCGCTCATATTATCCAGTTCAGTCCATCGTTAAAACGTGAGCTTGAGTGAATGCATTGAATGTAAGTTGGTAGTTTTCTTCATCTGGGAAACTTCATCAACTGTGGAGAAGTGATTCGGGGTGAAATCTTAACATGCGTACTGGTTTGTTCGACATCTACCATCTTTATCGTCTTCAAGATTTTGAACATTTATTAACATTCAATTTGTTTGAAGTTTGATCATAGGTTGATATCAGTTAGAAAAACGCTGAAAACCAGGGACTACTGGACAGCTTCTTCGTCCTAGCCCGGGACTCATCGGCAATAGGCACCCGCGGGGTTTCGAACTCAGGAGTTCTAGTGAGAAGTCGTGACCAATGGGGTCCACCTGGTAGAGAGTAAAGACACTCGGTGACATTAGCCGGCGGTCGCGCTAAAATGACGAATCGGTAGCAGTTGAAATTTAGGAGCCATTGGATCGGGTCCCATTGACTGAATGTGCTACCACCTTCCCTTATAACCGGAAGGTCATGGACTGGAAACCCGGCGGGCGCGTGCTGCTGATGAGTTCCAAACTAGGACGAAACAGATATCCACTACTTCCGCTTTTTGATGGTTCTCTAACTGATATCAATCTGTGGTCAAAACTTGAAACAAATCAAATCCATACAAACAAACTCTTGAAAAATATTTAATTTATTACTCTCAAGGTATATTTATCATCGTCTTTTGTAGTATTATTCTATCTCTATTTACTTCTCATTTTGTAGGCTGCTTTTGTATGTACGAAATTGAACTAGTCTACTTTCCTGACAGAGATTCTAAGTTGATCTGTTAACACACAATCTTCAAACTGAAAATTAAAAGAAAAGAAATTCGACAAACATTTCAAAGTCTGTTTTCCCCACAAATCACCACAGTACATAATGATTAGTTTTTCCACCGCTTAAACATATATATATATATATCAGCCATTTCACATCATGTCACTGTTAATTTTGTTTTCTTTTGGAGGAGATAATCCTTAATGTTTTACGGCATTGGGAATTTTTATTGGTAAATAAATATAATTGAACAATGTGTTGAAACTTTGTCTACTTGTCAAGTAATATCTATAAAGTATGCAACGAAATCATGATCATATAAGCTATAAAAACAATAACTTACCATTAATAGAGCCCCACGTGTTTGTAAGCAAACACTGCAGTCAGGAGTGAAGTCAGGATTAGTGGATTCAATAAGAATCTTCTTTAGAACTAGTTCACCAAAGATACAGTGACTAAGAGCAGTTGGAGTAATCACAGTTGGGACTAGAGAGAAAATATATCCAGTTCTACTGTGTATATTGAAAAATAATCTTGAACGACTGTTTATAATTGTACTGGAAAGTAGAGTAACAAATGTTGCTGCTTCTCTTCCAAAGAGAAGAGGTAATATTTCAGATGGTTTTTCCCATGATTTAAGTGCTTTAAGACGTAAGGAAAAGACTTCTTTAGATTTTAAAGGTAGTGCACCGGCTGGCAGTTTGTCAGGATTGCAAACAAGGACTCCTGTATTGCCTGTATTTGTTTCGGTCATATTCCACGCAGATATATATGAATTAGACGATGGCAGGACCTATAAGTTTGTAGAAAAAACAAGCTATACCTGAACCCAGTAAACTATACTTCTCTAAAACTACATTTCAGATTGGGGAAAATAGCACTTGTAGAAGTTATAATGATGATGCTTTTTCACTAGGAGAAACTAGTATTATCACTTGATAAGGTCATTACAACAAGTGGAGAAAAACCACGATTTATGGCACTTGAGATTACTTAATAGGAAGTTATCTGTGGGAAATGGAGAATTTAGTAATATTGGTTAGTGTAGTGAAACGCAACCCAACCAAGTGCTTGTTCATGAATTTGGAAAAATGACATTTAATGTGACAGGTTCTTGAAATGTCTAGCTCCACAAACAGTGGAAGAGTGAATCACTACTTGAAAGTTGGGTTGAGTATCTACACCATTAACCCAGGGTCTTTTACTTTCTGGTGCTACTAATCTGCTTAAGTTAGATAACGCAGGGAGCAACCCACTGACTGAAAGTCTAGAAGTTAACGTTAGTCAGTCATAGTTATTGAATTTATCTACAACTAGTCTGCTTAATTAACTTTTAAATACTGGATTACAGGTTGGGAATCCATTTCATTTAATACAATGAAAATTAATACAAACAGACTTTTTCAAGAACCGATACTTAAAATTAGGAGCTTTCTGTTGTTGGACTGAAACTAAAGTCTTATGTACACTCACGATTCTATGGTTGACCAAAGATGTACAAGCTTTCAGTCCCATTAATACCAGTAGTGGGTTTCACCAAATTACCAACATACGATCTCTAGAAATACTTATCCACAATATTAAAACCTCTTCAGAGAAAGAGCATATAATTAAGGATTCACTTGACTTTAAGTTCCGAACAGTAAAATGAAAACTTGACTAGTATTCGGATCGTTGAGTCTTGATATCATTGAATTGCTTAGAGTAAGACAAAACTGACAGGAAGGTATTCACTGCATGGCAGGGCTCGAAATTTCTCTTACGGACTACTTTACATTTAGAAGAAACTATTATTGACAAACTAGTGAATCAGTAATGAATCAGCATCGCTCTCACTTGTATATCTGCTCCAATAAAGCTGAAGGATGAATTTCAAATTCATAAAGGCAGTATCATAAGAGAAATACTACATAAAGTAGATTCCTAACTTTTTGAGTAGGAATGAGGGGCTAAGATAAAATTTGACTAGACTGTACTGTCTCCCTTCCACTAACAAATATTGTCAATGACAAGAAACCTAGCAAGTTCTAGTTTTAGAATTCATATGCTTACCAATTTTAACATTTCTGTTATCACTATCATTTTATTCACTTGACAAGGCATAATTCTATACAGAACTTCGATCTAGTATATGTATGTAAAAATGGTTAACTGTTACATTGGTAAAGCTATTAGCATTAAATAGAAGAATGTCAGTATAAACCATTTTACTTTTCATTGAGTGTTGGATACCATTTCTTAACAAAAATGAATATTACTGACCGGATTATTACATTTTTAAAACTTATTAAATGCGAATTTGGTTTGGGCATCTAAACATAACTAGGTCTTGATATGGGAAGCCGTTTTATTGATATTTTTCAGCACACTTCATCTACATTTTAAGTGCATAATAAATGAGGAGTGAAAATGTTAAATAGGTACGTGGTAATAATTCGGGATAGATTACATGCACTACCACCAGACGCACTTAACTTATCAAGATAAGTGAAATTTTCAGTTTGTTGATATGATTTGAGCAATAGTTTATGCTCGAAACGTCATCATTAATATTACTTATGTGATTTATCAAATAAATCTTATCATAGTGGAGTTATGTTACCACAGTGCCCAAGTTTTATACTTACATCAATTGATTGTTATTTATCTCAAATATGTGTTAATTTAGAAGGTATACTTGCACATGTATTTGAACGCTAAGAGCCAGTCTTAAAATGTGTATCTACACAATACACTAAGTCAGAAATAATAAAGCAGAATCGCAGCCTATTAGTTGATAGTGCAAACCATAGGATGATGAGGGAATCTATGGATGAACACCACCTGGCGTTGTTTTCTAAGTGGATGACAGGGATCAGCTGTGACATTCCTTTTTTTAATCAGACATTTTTATCTCGACGGATCTAATATTTATAAGCAGTTACCTAACCACAACTTTATTATAATTTTTCTAATAAGCTTTACAATACGAGATCACCGAAATCACTAATAAATATACATACAGATGCGAAATGTCATCTGAAGTTGACCGGCATAACATTTAATTTTCGTAGTCCGCTTACAGCTAATGAACACGCTTTTAAGAGTATTTGAAGTTTGATAAGAATACGTTAGAAGACTGATCACAAGTACACGTTTGCAGGAGTGCCAAGCCAATAAAATGGACTCACGCTTATATAGGACTACCTATTCCCGATTGTCAGATTGCAAGTAATATCTGTATTCCCAACATGTCATATTGCAAATAATACTGTTGAATACACCAATTAAACCTACATTAAGTATTGACGGAATGCTGTCTATACGATGTGTCCTTTAAGACAGAACGTCACTTATGGTGCTACTGCGCATTATTTGGAAAAAAAACATTACATACTACAAAGCATGGGTCTTGTTAACCAGTGTATAACTTTTGATCAGCTAGGACACACGGTTATTGTAAAAAAGGATTGACTTTCTAATAATATCTATGTCAAAAAAGGAGGACGTATTTCAATACCGACTTTTCAAGATGTGAATGAAAGTTTTCAATAGAAGAATGAACACATCTGTTATTACGACGATGTACTGTTTTAATCTGACTTTAAAAAGTGGATTTATACCCAACATGCTTTACTAAGTTATCAACGCGTTCCGTGAAACTCATTTCAACTTCAATTAACACCAAAACAATTACTACATTTGGCTTACTGAACCAACTACAACCAAATCATGCTGTAGCGCATATATCACACTTGGCGCCGTAAAATCCTTAAACTTAGTGTAAGTTTTAATAGGCATTGGACTTAAATGTACCAATTAAATATAAAGTATCATAGGAAAGCTTGAAGTTTTAAAGCCATCCAGACTGGTTCTGTTTTAGCATTCGTTCTAATCACCTTATTTACTAGACAATCTACAGTTTCATCTTTTCTTCACTTAGTTTTTTATCGGGTCTAGGTAATGTCTATGAAATTCAGTTTGGAGAGTATTGAGGAGCTCTACTGTCGGTCTCTACATTAATTAAAAGAGCCCTTAGCACTCTTAATAGACTAACTAAGAATGGTGGTTGTGAGGATTAGGAGTCAGTCTTCTAGTATGAATCTTGGTATAGTGTATATATGACTTTGGTGGTTGGCGGTCAAAATATATGGGTTTCTAGATAGCAGCTTAACACAGCCCCAAATAAAGCATACATCTCTAGAATCCCATGGGTACAGGACTACCATAACAATGGTTAATCGAACCAAGTTGACAAGCCCACTTGGCAAAGCCAATCAGTGAGCATGGACCTGCACCAGTTGGCCAGGTCAATGCTGCGAAAGATCTTTCACTGCTACGGACGCCTATTAGTGAAAGCGCTTCCAGGTGGCTATATCTCGCAGATGTGCTCTGGGGAGAATTAGCGATGGTGAGAATTTTATTGCTGATATGTTGTGATGTGGCCGAATTCCATTGTTTAACTAGATGAAGCAATATTTCTTAAGCCACTATGAATTTAAGGGATTGAACGACTCTAAACTACAGCGACCCAACACGAAACTACCTAATGAACGGATAGATTTATTTACAGAAACCGGTTTAACCTGACTATGAGGACTTCTGTGAGAAACTGGAAAGTTTTTCTGGACATCTCATCTCTTCCTCGCACGATATCCTCCATGTCACCCTAGGACGACCCATTCGTCACCTCCCATTTGGATTCCATTCGGGAGCCTGACGCGCGATGTCATTCAACGGTTTCCTCAATGTTTGCCCAATCCATCTCCATTTTCTCCTACATATTTATTGGCCGATCGGCTAGGTATGTAATTTAATTATGATCACTACGTAGGCCTTTCAACGTGGGAGATAGACATGTACGTGGTTGCTGGTATCTATGAACTAGCTAGACGAATACTAGAGGGCTTGAAGTGCATCATATTCTACGACGACATTCTTGAGGGTTCCACTATAGATGAGTCTCACGTGTTTCAGAGACTGGGGCATTTCATCGACTAATACTCCTGACTGACATAACTTATTTCTCATACCGCGTTTATCAGTGCATACGACTTCGGGCTTTTATGATGTTCCGTTTGTCTCTAGAGGACTTGGGAGCATTTATATTGAAGGCCTGACTGTCTGAAAACTCAAGTGTTTTGGATTAGTCTCCTAGTTTGTTTAATTTCTAGTTTTTTCTAGTTGAGGCAGTGCTTCTTTTCTCCTTATTCTGCACAGAATGATCACCTCAGTTCGATGGGTGGGTCTGTTCTTCTTAGATAGTAAGCACAAGCTAGCAACTGACTTCTTGACCAGAAGTACTGTTTGAACGTCTTGAAACCGGTAAGAACAGCAGGTTAATGTTTCTGGCTTACCTGCACACGCTACAGAATTACTCAAAAGGAGCAACATCTCAGGCACTTGGCTAAATCTTGTGCTTTCCCGGGAAATTCTTCGACACAGACACTCCTAAAGTAGGACTCATTCCCATAGCGACGAAAAAGATTTAAAGCCTTGAGGGTAAAGCTTAGCTACTGAGAACGGTACATGTTATACTGCTGGAAACTCATTCATTTTAATATGGCTCCGTATACTTGTGGACTTCTAGAAAACCAGTTTGTTAGGGTGCTTGAGGGACTCTGAACGTGTTTCCAGTTGGCTTTGACCAGATGTAATGCTCACGATTGACGTGTGGCTACCAGTCCTGCTAGACCTGAGCGCTAGCCACAGTACCTACTGACACTTTTAGCCTGGCCCACTTAAGCTGGTGGCCAGTATGTCCTTAGCACCGCTCCAGCTAGCAAAAGGAGAATACAACACTTATGGCTGCTGGAAGATGTATTTATTGACGATGATTTGCAGTGAGTGTGCAGGTAGATTATCATACAAAAATGGAACTGCCAACCTCTTGTGCTTTGAAAATTGTATTTACCACCATGTCTTTCATTATGCACAGATAAACAAATAGATCGTTGACAGTGATACCGTTGAAGTTCATTTGAGTTGACGAACTTCCTTGATCCCCTACAGACTTACGTCTTGGTGGCACAACTGGCTGACTGAATAAACCGCCCTGTCCCAACTTACCGCCTAGATTTCATGGCTGAGCTAATGAAAATAAAACAGTAAACATACGCCTATATAGGTGAGTGTTTGGGTATACAGGATATCCAGGAGTTAGTCATCTATAGCAAACGCCCGATGCAACCACCATGCTGCTGTGTTTTTGGAAAAACCAGTTGTCCGTGACACTCTTCTACGACACCCAGCCGTAGAGGTAAACAAATAGAAAGGAGAAGGTGAATCGTTTCAAGCACTATCGGGCACATGAACTTTTTTCCCCCAGGTAGCTGATATTACTAAACACCTGACCAGTCCTATACAAATTGATGATGATCAATAATAATATAATGAAAATAATTTATGTTTTGCATAAACTGGCGTTTACAAGAAATGCATGCCATTTTTACAGGCACGATCAGCTATGTTATAAATTACAATCGTGAAATATCATAAATTAATACTTTTTCAAAAGTTCGAATTGTTCGGTTATTGTACAAGCAATCAGAACAGGTTCTTATAAATGTTAAATTTTAAACCATTTACTAAGGTTGTAACAACAGAAGACAAGGGCCAGGCAACAGATCGCTTATTAAGGAAATCAAAGCATATTTATATATTTTCGTGTACATTATTATAGATTAGTTAGGCAAACAAACACAGTCTTCTGATTGGTTGTTTCTCACTTAAAGTTAATTTTTCATCTCTTTGTGACCGTTTCTTGAATGGCAGATCATCTATATGTTAACTGTATCCGCCTACGCAAAGTCTACTCTGGTCGGTTTTGAATCAGTCTTTGTTCATATTCTCTCACAACAAATCTTGAGAACGTAAACATTGACGTAAATTACTGTCTACCTATTTGGCTAGTAGACAGCTCTTACCACAAGGTCACCGTCAAAGTTGAGCGACAACCCAAACTTCGTTCGGTTTCCTGCTGATCCTTATGGTCAACCAGTGAACAGTGTATATTTGGGTAAGCGCTATGCCGCCACGTGATTTAAAGCTATTTCAGGAAGAGGAGAACGACCTTGGAGACTGCAAAATGGAATAAAACACAATTATGGATAATACATCATTGAAAGTAAATTTACAAGATATATACAAGAGGAGGGTGGAGACTCCTTGGAATGATATTATACATTTGCAATGTTTGATGGTCTAAGCATGGAAACTATGACGTTTTTGATGAAATTATAGCTTTGTTCGAACATTGGTGTTGTAGTGTTTTCCATCAAAGCATTCAGACTTTAAGCAAGCAACGAGTATGAACAAAGAGTAAGTTTTTGCTTTAATAAAGACCTAGGTAGTCAAGATAAAACCGAGTACAATAGTGCGTATATAAAAAGATTATCGTGAGGTAGACAAGTGATATTTCAGCGAGAAGTGAACTCAAAGAACTAGGAAATTGGAACCCGTAGGACAAGCTGACATGTCTCACGAATTTCTGTAGGGTCTATGGGATAGCATATTGACAAGAAGCTGACAGGCTTGTAGATGGTAGTCTACGCGGGACCAGTATTGTAGGAGTTGTGGGTATAAGAACTTGCGTTTTATGTATCGTACTTTGCGTAAACTTCAATATCCCTTCGTCCCTTAAAACCTATTCACTTTGAAGAAGGATGGGACACTTTTTTCCTCATAATTTTCTCGTTTTCGTCATGATTTCTGCTTATTTAGTGAGCGAAAGTGATCCGTACCACATAAAAGCTATGAGAAGCGTCAGTGGGCTCCTTTGACACAAAAAAGCAACATTTGGTCAGTCATCTCAGCATTTCGTTAGTGATCTTATTGCTTACCCACTTCTGACAAACTCCAATTGTCATGGCTGGAAATTAGGCCATTCACCAACTCCTACACCTTCTTTTTCACTTCACATAGATATACATGTGTTGAGAGCTGTCTACTAGCCAAAATTGGTGGACAGCAATTTACGTCAATGTTTACTTCCCAAATCTCGGTGATGAGAAAAACAAGAACAAAGACTTTACATGGGCGGATATGATTCGCAGATATATGGTCTGACCTTCAAAGAAACGGTCACAAAGAGATAACAGATTAACTTTCAGTGAGAAAACAACCAGTCAAAAGGCGCTGTTTCTGTGCTAATAATAACAAATAATAATGTACATAAAAATATATAAATATCTATTGATTTCCTCAATAAACGATCTGTTGTCTGACCCTTGTCTTCTGTCGTTACATACATAGTTAATTAAACTTGTGAGTAACGGTAAACTTCATTAATAAGTGTTAATTTTATTGGTAGAACATGATAAGCATTTCTACACAGGGCTTAAATATTAGTTCATACATATAATATAAGAGTTAGCAAAATAGAACGAGTTAATTTATCAACAGGACTCATGGTTTCTGTGCAAGGTATATATATATATAAATTTACAAATCATTCCTTGATGACTCATTGTGTTTCTTTCTGTGCTGCTGTCACTTGTCTTCTTTTTCTCACCACTTTAGCTTCTTTTTGACTTTCTGATTGATCATAAAGAATGTAAATATTTGGCGAATTACAATAACAGGCTAAAAAGGTCTGCAAAAATTACCCTCCCCAAATCTTACAACTGCCTCGCAAAATACCCATTACTTTCTTCTTCAGACAAAGTAGCTGACTGGTTTCATGAACAAACAAACAACTTAACAAAAGAAAAAAGTTTAACATGATCCACCAAAGAGCTATTAAAAATACATTGTTCACTCCTGATTCGTGGTAACCTTTAATCGAGTAATAATGGTTTCAA